CTCAGTCACTCTGATTCAGATACCCTTCAGGGCATAGGATTAGGCTTGACCCTTGAATCAAGCATTGGTCTAAACCATGCAGAAAAAGCAACTGTTATTTCATAATCCATGATTAAATTTTATTGTTTCTAAGTATATTCCTAGAAAGACTGCTGCTTTCATAATTACTTTTTAAAGAGAAATAATACTATTTGAAAATGAAAAACAGATACATAAAAAGTCAAGCACAAATTATTATACATACCTAATTAAGCAGTATTAATTTCTAACAGAATTTATAACAAATTAATAATTCCAGTAAGTGCATACTTAAGATTCCATCAGGAAGTATACACTCTGCTTCAAAACTTCATTTGGACAGAAAATCAACTATATGCAAGTTCATAGCAAGAGATGGGAAAGCACAAAATCAAAACTGCAAAAGCTTTTGACAGCCAAATGCCACTATCCCACTTCCACTTGTAAGGCAGAAACTTCGCTGGACAAACACTTCTGGTGTATTCTCCCATCCTCTCTCTAATGTCCCCAAGAAAGGATTCTTCTAATGGGCAATACTAACAGCAGGAATTAAGACATATGCTGATCTGCTCCTTCCTCTTTGACAGCTTGCCTGCATGAAGGACACATTCTCCTAGGTTCCTTCAGTCCTAAAGCTAACAAAGGCAAGTTCTTAAGAGGGAAGAGAAGTAGCCTGGTGACTCACACCTGTAATCCCGGCAGCTCTGGAGGCTGAAGCAGGAGGATGGTGAGTTCAAAGCCAGCCTCGGCATCGGTGAGGTGCTTAGCAACTCAGTGAGACACGTCTCTAAATATAATACAAAATAGGGCTCAGGATGTGGCTCAGTGGTCAATGGCACCTGAGTTCAATCTCTGGTTAAAAAAAAAAAGAGTGAAGAGAACTGTGAGTGTGTGTGTGTGTGTTTGTGTGTGTGTGTGTGTGTGTGAGAGAGAGAGAGAGAGAGAGAGAGAAAGATGGTATTGGTGGTGCAGAGGATTGAACCCAGGACCTTGTACATGCTAGGTAAGCACTTTACCAACTGAGCTATATCCCCAGCCCCAAAGAATTATTATTTTTTTTAAGGAGTAATGTGATCAACAGTGAGGGGTCCATAATGAAGAGGACATAGACGCTGCACTAGAAACTCAAATGTCACTCATAACTATGACAGGGAGAGGAGGGGAGGGAAAGGAAAGGGTAGTAATGGGGGCTCAAATGGAGAAAACTATAAATATGTTAAAGTGAACCTCACAATTATGAGTAACTATGATGCAATTAAAAAAAAAAAAGACTGTGAGACAAGAAAGTGGAGGCAGTAGAAATAATTGCTGCCTCACGGAGCACAGGAATGGAACTAGGAGGGGTATGGCATCAAGGGAGGTCTTTCTTGGGTTTGTTTTTACCTACTGTATTGGGATCCTGACAGGAAAAAAACTGATAAGTAGAAGATACAGAAGACAAAAAATGACCATAAGAGTGGGACTAACAGTAGGAGTGATGTCCTTGAGGAGGAGAGTGGAGGGATGAGAGCCTTACCACAAGGAGAGAAGTCACTTTCAGGAGTAACACTCACTGTTCTATTTTAAAGGGAGGGAATTCAAGAAAATCAGTATATAAAATCTCTCTCTCTCTCTAGAGAGAGAGAGAGATTTTTTTCAGTAGAGATTTGATGAGAAAGCAGGAACTTGGATGAAAAAGCAGGAACGTAGACTTCAGAGCAAAGAAAATGACTAGAGACAAGGAGGGACATTACATAACAAAGGATGAAGCCACCATAAAGAAGTATCCAACTAGGCCTCAAGATACTGCAGCAAAACTAACAGGACTGAAAGTAGAAAGCCAAGTCCACAATTTCAGCTGCAACTTGGACACTGACTTCTCAGCAATGGACAGGACTACCAGACAGACAATCAGCAAGGATACACACTCCAACTGGCTCTCACATACAGAACACCCCACCTACTAACAGCAGAACACACAACTTTTTCAAGCATTCATGGAACAAATTCATTGACAGAAAATATCCTGGGCCTTAAAACATAACAAATTTCAAACAATCAAAATCATAAAAAGTGTGTTGTGACCATAATGGAAACAAACTAGAAATTAGTACCAGAAAGACTATAGGAAAAATTAAGGAGTTCTTATCAAATGTCTTGTATTCTCTCAATGACACGAGGCAAGGTAGAAAGAAGACGGAAGAAAGAGAAAGGAATAAACTAATAACTGAGTGCCCACTGTAGGCCAAATACTGTGCCAGACATGGCACCAACCCAACAGGTAGCCAAGTTTGCTCTCGAGAAACTTCTATGCCAAGGATGGGAGTTAGAAAGGATGACAACATAAAAATGAAACAAAATGTCAGGTGTGTTTAGTGTTAATATAGAAAGAAGAATGAGGGAGAAAGTAGCAGACAAAATCACAAAGGCAGGAGAGGAGATCAGAGGTGCTCTGTGTAGTACACAGTGGGTAAGTGGAAAGGTGGAACCAGAGGTCAGCAGGAGGCCCCTGCAGTACAATAGGCTGCAGTGACAGGGCTTAGGAATGGCTGCAGTAAAGCAGAGAGAAGTGTTGAGGGTATGGCAGATAGGATTTTCTGATGAAGTGGAATGATCCAAGAGAAATGCAGACTCTAGGACAATTCAAGTTGTCTGGCTATGCTCCAGGTAGAATGAAATTGCCGTTTTATGGGACAGGAAGATCTGAGGAGAAGGTTGAGGTGTGAGTGTATACGTATGGTGGTAAATCAAGACTTCGGATAATGCAGTTTAGTTTTAATTAATGTAGTTTCAAGTTTTTAGCTTCTCCCATTTTCTTAATTTTGAAAAAAATTAAAACCTACAAACTGTTAGGATTGTATGAACACCCATATCCCTTTACCTAGATTCACTAGTTGCTAATATTTCACCAAATCTGCTTGAGCTTTTTCTTTTGCTGAACCACTTCCCCTCACATACTTATATCTATCTCCTCAAAAAAGACATTCTCCAGCATAACCACATTACAATCGTCACACTCATTATTACATACAGTACTCTTCTCTGATATACATTTCTTTATAGTTTTCCTGGAGCCAAGATTCAACCAGGGATGAGTGTGTTCAGTTTGGGAAGCCTAGGAAGCATACATGTGTGGCTGTGTCAAGAAAATAGAATATATGCATTTGGAATTCAGGGATAAGGTCAGATTTGAAGAAACATTCTATAGTGAGAATATGAATTACTTAGGAAATGCAGTTGGACTGGGTGCCCATTTGAAGTTAATAATTATAAATTTAAGGTGAAATGTGTCTGTCGAGTTATGATTTTCTCTAGTAATAGTAAGTTGAATGGGCAGAGACACAGTGACAATATGCCTAACCATGGTTAGCTTAAGTAGAGGTAAAAAGAAGCAAGGAAACTGACAGCCTCTTTAATGGAGTGACTGTAACAACAGAGCGTGGGTTCTGTTCTGGATGAGAAGGAAAGCAAAGATTGGAGGTGATAAGCATTGTTCTAAAAGTCTATGATTGTAAAAAAAAAAAAAAATTACTACTTTAAAATGTTAGATATTTGTCATATTTAATGTTTGCCTCTGGCAAAGAGGCCATCCCGTATTTAAGAGAAGAAAATCAGTCAGCATTATCAATATTTATTTTTACTATACAAAACTGTATTTAGGGGAAAGGACACAAAATATAGAAACCACCTCCTAGAGGCAGAGCCTAAAAGAAAATAGGAAAGCAGGCTTCCACCCTCTTTTACAAAGGTAGAAGCAGAGTTTAATTATATCCTAAATCACAAAGCTTGTTCCTGGCAAAAACAAGACTAGCACCAAAGTCTCTGAACTTCCAAGTCCAGCACTATCCATCTTGGCTTCCAAAATATGTTGTCAGAAAACTTCTGGAAAAACATATGAATATTCACAGGGTTATCCTTGGTAAATGGGGTTGTGGAAGTAGAAGTTTCCCACTTTTTATTTTAGTACTATTGAAATTTTTAATAACAGGGTGGTTAGTAAAATGAAAGGAAAAAAAAAAAAAACACTATGCCATGCATAGCAACCAAAACTAGGCAGACACTTGCAACTTTTAATTCAGCAATTATTGCGTCCTTGGCTGCTATATCCTGCCCTTCCCCCTTCAGCCCACCTGTTTCCCATCTTTTGGTCACCCCATTCAGCATGTCCTAGGCCCAGTCACACAGAAGAGGGCAGAACAAAGACAGCCTAGGACATATAAAAAGGGCAGAACACCTGGCTTCTTGGGATACCAGCAATGGTCCCCTTCTCCCTCCTGGGAGAAGTCCCCTTTTTAAACTAAACCCTGTTTGCCTCTGCGTGCTTCTCTAAAGTTCAAACTTCAACATGTGAGGAAGCAGAACTTGTCACGGATAGATAACCGTCGGTATCAGTGTCACTTCAAATGGTCATTAAGGCTTCAGTCATCTCCTGCAATTAGTCTTCCATGAAGCCAGCCCCTCTACTGAACAGCATGCTTTTACTGCATGTACCGTAAATTTTAAGGCAGTTAGTTCTTTGGTGCAGAAGCTGTCTTTTTCTGTTTCTTACCCCTACCACTTGGCCACTGGTTAACACAAGTAAGCAGTCAACACTAGGTTTGATCCGTGAATAAGTTCTTGCAGGGCCTGAACCGGCTCGTGTGGCTCTGGAGCGTAGGGGGATAACAGGGACCTGGTGCCATGAGCACAGGCAGGGGACTAAGGAGACAGCATTGGTACCAACACAGCCTCCAGCCGCTCCAACCGGGAAGGCCTTTTGCTCGCTCCCTTGCCCAGGGAGCGGTCTCTCACAGCGGCTCATCTGCGGCGGCTTGGGGCCGCGACCAGGCGGCGGAGCGCGGGGGTTCTGCAGCGGCCCGGCACCGCGCGCAGTGGGGACAGCTCTCCTCCGCCTGGCGCGGACTCCGGCCCGAGCCGGCGGGGCTGCGGAGAGAGGGAGCGGGCGCGCTTCCCCCAGTGCCCGCGAGCCCCGCCCGCCCGGCGCTCCCGCCCGGGACTCTCACCTCGGTCCCAGACTCAGCCCTATGGAAGTCACTGCACATCGCCCCGGAGGCCTGGCGCACAGGAGACTCAACTTTCCCGCCTGCGAGGCCATTTACCGACGGCCCGGGACATGCAGCCAGTCAGGACGAGAACTCCCGTGCGCACTGCGCCGGCCCTTGACCCCAGGGCGACGAGCGCCTGCGCAGTGAGGCTGCGGGCGCTCCGGGTGGCGTCATCCTCCCGCGCCCCCGCCGCGCCCTCCTGTCTCCTGGGAGACCGGAAGTCGGCTGGTGCCTTTATCTCCTCAGACGTGAGCTTGGGCTCCTTTCTGAGAGGCAAAACTGGTGTCCTGTGTATTTGATTTTCTTAACTATTAAAATGCACTACGGAGCAGGCAGCCGAATTTGTCCACTCAGGCTAAGGCTAAGGTGGCTGTGTGTGAAATTGGCGGTTGATTCTGGGGAAAGTAAATAAAAAAGCTGAATTTAAAAGCTGTCACTGTGGCCCCAGGCGCCCCTCCGTTAGCGCGTGGCGCGTGCCCACGTTCCACAGATGTGCGTGAGCCGCCGGTCCGCGGGGAGGAAGCGGCCGCCAGCCGGCCGCAGCACCTGCGCGCCGCGGGGAGGCCCCGCTCGCGGCCGTAGACTCGCTCTCCCGCAGCCGCCTCCGCCCTGGCCGCGCGCAGAGCCGCGGGGTCGGCCCTCCGCTTCCCCCCTGGCCTGACGCTCCTGCGGTCTGAGCGGAACTAAGGATCGCGACAGGGTCCACATGGTGCCTGGGCGCCGCCTGCACGCAGGCGGCCGTTCTCCCACCGGCGTTTCACAGATGAGCAACGGGCACAGTTCTGGGCTGTGTTACGTGGTTGACAAGATGGTGACGGGTTAAAAGAATGTGGGGAAAACACGCAGACCACAGGGGCAGGGGATTCCGTAAATAGGCCTGGCCGGAAAACAATTGGCTGTGAAGGAGACACCACCTGATACTGTGTGTGCGTGTGCGCGTGCGTGCGTGTGTGATCAAGGAAGAGTCTTGAATTTTTATTCTAGTTAGTTGCACACGGCACGTCGTACATATATGGTGTATAACTTGTATTTTATAAAGGAAAAGACCAGGGTGTGTCTACATGCTGGCAGGGGGCGCTTGGGGGACTGGGTGGGTGAGGGCGCGATCTCAAGCTGGGCACGGTGGCACACGCCTGTGACACCAGCGAGGCCACCCTCAGCAACTTGGCAAGACCGTGTCTCAAAATAAAAAGAGCCGGGTTGTGCTCAGCAGTAGAACTCCCGGGGCCAATCCTCGGGGACACACATGCACATCTCAGGAAGCCCCCAATGGAGAAAGCGTGGGAATCAGCTTTAGGTAAGAGCGGGTGCAGATGCAGGTAAGTTGCAGGTAGGACGCTCTAAGACATTGAAAAATTCTAGTCTGGGGACTTGTTTTTTTTCTGGAAAGCAAGAAATCAGGGTCATGTTCTGAGCCAAGTGAAAGTCTTCTTGTGAAAAATTAAGGTGCACAACCCAGTCAAGTACCAGAATGAATGTCACCCTGCCCACGGGCTCCACTAAAATCCTTACCCAGAAAACCATCCTAGGTCCATTCTGGTACACAGGGAGTGGGTAAGGGGAGACTGACGTGTTATACGGTGTGTTGGGGGTGGTGCCTGGGGATGGAGCCCAGGGGTTCCCACATGTTATAGGAGCACTCCACCACCAAGCTACAACCTCAGCCCCAAAGCACGATACTAATTAATACAAAGGATGGCAGTGATTATTTTAACTAGGACATTTTTCCTGCTGTACTCGTCTATGATCTCATTCAATACTCAGTATCTTAGAACTATTCCTTTTGCACAGACCTTCTCTCCCCAATCAGAGTTGTGTACGTAGACTGGTTTCACACAGTGACATACATCATCTAACAGCGGCACTTCTTAGAACCTATCCCCACTGTTCGGTGGCCTGTGAGTGTAGTAGAGTTAGCCATCGGCGGCGGCAAGATGACTCATGGACTTCTGGGGTGGAAAAGCTTTATGCAAAAACATGAGCATGTTCTTATGAAATGTTTTCATCAGTCATCCCAAAGTCGCTCACTATATAAATCAGAATGGTTTTAATTACAAGTCACAGAAAACCCCACATTTACTTGTTTAAACAATAAATGACATTTATTGAGTCACAAAACAAAGTCCAGAAGTAGGAAGGGCTTCGAGGTTATTTTAGTTGAGAGGCTCAGTTAGGCAAACATGAATGTAGTGTTTCTCTTTTCTCTTGTAAGATGCATAGTCTCTACCTGGCTCTTCTAGGGTGTGAACATACCCAAGACATTGATGACGACCAGGGACCCAGCATGGGTTAGTTAGCTTAGTCCTGAATCATATGTCCCTCTTCTAGATCCAGGGGTAGAGACCTATTCTTTCAAAACATATAGGCTCTGTGGAAAGCTATGGATAGCAACAGATTTCAACAATGACATCAAAATCCATATGGTTAGCCTGGAGCGGAGCATGATTAGAAGGAGGGGAGGAAACCTCTGTTTTCACTGCACCCTCCATGATGAGAACCCAAATATCCAAAGCCATATGTAGGTCACCTCCCTCTTCCATTCCACTCCCTTCACTACAAAGTAGATCCTTCCTCACAGCAAATCGATATGCGAGGAAAAAAAGGCTCTACAATGGAGTAGCTGTTCTAGGCTAAAAGATTTTCTTATTTCCCACACTGTTCCTAATGAAGATTACATGTCAACTGAACCAGCTTAATCCATTAAGTGCACAGCTGATTGTGTGGGCTTTCAACATGGTTTGAAAGTACTTCAGTTTTAATGCTCTGAAAACGTCACTTCTAGTTTAAAAGTAAGTCTGAGGAACCCTCATAAATGGTTGGTAGAAATGTGATTATATGATCTTTTTGGAGGGGATATCTAATCGAATAATACATTTATTAACCTTTTGACTCAGTATCCTGCTTCATGGTCATACTTTCTTTTTCTTTTTTTAATATTTATTTTTTTACTTGTAGATAGACATAATGCCTTTATTTTATTTATTTATTTTTATGTGGTGCTGAGGATCGAGCCCAGTGCCTTACACATGGTAGGCAAGCGCTCTACCACTGAGCTAAAGCCCCAGCCCTCATGGTCATACTTTCAACTTTGCAAAAACATATGAAAAAAGCATGTTGCACCATTGTTTATAACTATGAAATATTGGAAGTAACCTAACTGCCCATATGTAGAAGTGTGGCTGAATAAAATAGGCACAGTACATGCCTACAATTCTGGCTACTTAGGAGGCTGAGGCAGGAAGAGCACAAGTTTGAGGTTCACCTGGCAACTTAGTGAGAACTTGCCTTAAAAAGAAAAATTTTAAAAAGGGCTGGGGATATAGTCAGAGGTATAATGTTCCTGGTTCAATCCCCCATACACACCCACCAAAATGCTACCACCAGAAAATGGAGCATTATGCAGCTATAACAAAGGATGGCAGAGAGTTCTATGCACTGGGGTGATTTCCAGAATATAGTGTGGGAAAATATCAGTGGAAGGAATATCTATAGCTTGTCAGCTTTTACATAAGAAAGAAGGAAAAAAGAATCATTGAAAATATACATGTTTGGGCAAAAAGAAACAGAATAAATCAGAAATTAATGAGACTGATTATCTACGAAGGATAAAAGGAAAAGGAAATGGATGGAAAAGAAGGGAATGAAAATAAGGTGAAAGGGATGAGGTGAGGCACACTTTTGTAAGTATGACTTTTTAACTTTTTCTTTTTGGTACTGGGGAGTTAACCCAGGTGTGCTTTGACACTGAGCTACATCCCTGGCTCTTTTTATTTTTTATTTTGAACGGTCTCAGTAAGTTGCCTAGGTTGGTGTCAAACTTATGATCCTCCTGCTTCAGCCTCCTAAGTCATTGAGATCACAGGAAAAAGCACATTTCTGTTTTTATGGAAATTAAATAATGGCTAAATGAGGACTCCCTTCTGGATAATTCTCACCTCCACTTCCTGTTGTTGTTCTCCTTTTCCCTCTTTCTCCTCCACTTCATCGTGTGTCTCAGGGCTGGTTAATTGTGCTGTTTTGCTCCTGCAGGACCCTGCTCTTACTTGTTTCTCCCCGTTTCGCCCATTTCTTAGCGCCCACCTTACTCCGGCCGGCTCTGGCCCTGTGTGTCCATGGGTGTCTCAGTCCCCGTGTTCTGAACGTGTCTGTGATTCAGGGTCCTTCTGCGTGCTGCTGGGATCCGGGACGCTCCACTGCACTTTCCTTCTGCCCCTGGCTTTTCCTCGCGGGGCGGGGGGAGGGGGGGCACCGAGGGTGGGATGGGGGCAGGCGGACCTCCGCGAACTGCTCCTACCTGCTCTTTCCAGGTTGCCGGCTCCTGACTCGGTTCAGCAGGAGGAGGCCAGAGGGACAGTGAGGAGCCGGAGGAGGACGCCAGCGGCCCAGGCTCTCGCACCGCGCTGCCTCCCGGGCTCTCCTTCCCTGCGGACCTCCTGCACAGCGCAGCCTCCCCGGCGACCTCGGGCTGGGTCCCCTCAACCCCTGGGTGGTGCGGTGACTTTCTGCTCTTACCCGGCGTGGAACCTGCCTCCTGTTTGGTAGCGCCACGTTTCCTAAGTGGTGTGACCAACTCCCTGCACTAAACTCTCTCTGTTTTAAAATAGCAGATGTGCTTCTGCCTTCCTGGAGAGTCTCCGGCAGGTACGTTCAGTGTTCTCCTTTAAGGTCTCCGTCCCTGTTTGGGTTTTAATTCTAGCTGCTGTAGAGAGGCCCACATATGTATCCTTCCCCCACATTTTGCTTATCGACAATGTATAGTTTTGCTTTTCTCCAATGTATATTTTTGGCACCTTTGTCTAGTGTGAAATGACTGTATTTATGTGGGGAAAACCCTGTACATTCTTAAAAGTTACTAAAGGGCTAGGAATGTAGCTCAGTGGTAGCGCACCTGCCTCACATACACAAGGCCCTGGATTGGATCCCCAGAGATTGAAAAAAAAAAAATGTAAAGACACAAAGAGCTTTAGTGTCAATTATATTTATTGATATTTACTATACTATAAATTGAGAAATCGAAATTTTATCTATTTGCTCAACTCAACATGTCAACATAAAAATATTTTGTTGAAAATATTTTGTACAAAATAATGGGTTCAATCCCCAGCACAAAAACAGACAAACAAAATAAATCCCACAAAGACAGATAAGCAAAAATACCCCCAAACCCCATTTTCTAAAACAACCTATTAGTGGGAAGAGTTGGGAACCAGGCAAGGTGGTGCACACCTATAATCCCCGAGGCTCTGAAGGCTGAGGCAGGAGGATTGCAAGTTCAAAGCCAGCCTCTGCAATTTAGCAAGGCCCTAAGCAACTTAGTGAGATCCTGTCTCAAAATGAAAAATAAAAAAGGGCTGGGGATGTGACTCACTGGTTAAGCTCCCTTGGGTTCAATCCACCCCTCCCCCCCTACCAAAAAAAAAAGTTGTTTCTTTTACACTTTTTTGTAAATCTCTTTATTGATTTAATTGAATGTGTAACTGGGTTTTCATATCTGCTTCTGAGTTCAATCTGTTGTGATGACAAAACACACAAAGAAAATAATATCTCGGCATTATTATGAACATAGTTTTGATTTTGTGACCACTGAAAGGTCTTGGGACTACCCAGGGGTCTTTAAGTCATACTTTGAAAACTGGTACTTATTGAAATTGCATTATTCCTGATAAGGGTCCCTTGGACTGGGCTTCATTGTAATAGACTCATTTTTTAAAAAATGTTTCTTATTTATACATGGACACAATATCTTTATTTTGTTTATTTTTATGTGTTGCTGAGGATCGAACCCAGTGCCTCATATGTGCAAGGCAAGCGCTCTGCCACTGAGCCACAACCCCAGACCAATAGACTAATTTTTTAAAATATATTTTTTAGGGGCTGGGGATGTGGCTCAAGTGGTAGCGTGCTCGTCTGGCATGCCTGCAGCCCAGGTTTGATCCTCAGCACCACATACAAACAAAGATGTTGTGTCTGCCGAGAACTAAAACAAGAAATAAATATTAAAAAAATATATATATATATGTATATATATATATGTATATATATATATATATATATACATATATATATATATGTTAGTTGTAGTAGGACACAATACCTTTATTTTACATATTTATTTTTTAATGTGGTGCTGAGGATAAAACCCACTGCCTCACACATGCCAGATGAGCGTTCAACCCCAGCCCCAAAGGACTCATTTTAATACCTACATTTCATATATGTGCACAGATGTCTAAGTGGTATGCAGAGATTAGTGAAGCTTCTCAAAACTAAACATTTACTTCTGCTCTGTGAAAATATAGGAAATATTTTAATAATAGGAGGAATGGCTAGTAGGAGAAAAAAATTCCTTGAAGTGAGCTGATGGTCTCAGAATTGGTGAATCCAAGGGAAGAGCAAGTCCTACTCAGATTTAGTCACTGTGGAGGTCCAGGGAAGACGGATCGTGTGAACAGTGGTTTCAAAGCCTTCTGCATGAAAAGCTGAGAGTGCACCAATCGGTGCAGGTCTGTCCCATGTTAGAAACAGACAGATCACAGCAGTTCTTGGGATAGTCCAATGGGTCTTTCTCTTGTTAATGTAAAAATGTATGGCTACTGTTTTTGCCATCAAAAATTGACGATCTTGGTCTTTCCACCTTGCCTTTTTATAATGTCAAAAGAAAGGCACTGGTCACTTCAACAGCTTTACAGTGGACTCCAGCAATGTCACCAACGGTATGACTTTTTCAACCAAATCTAACAACTTCATCATTTTTCTCAGTGAAGTCAAAGCAGCTGTCACTGGGTTAAAGGCTGTGATTTTCTTGCTGTTCTTGATCAGCTGGACCCTGACACACTTCCTGATGGCAGAATTTGGCCGTTTGGCTTCAACGCCTACCCTTTCCAGCACTGTGCCCTTTATATGGGAAGCATCTCCCAGAGGGTTGGCCTTGGGGGTTGTGCCAAATGGGTATTCTTGTACTGTTCATCATGCCACCTCTGGTTCCTTGGTGACTTCGGAGCTTCCTGGTGGTATGACACTGGGACACCTGCCTGTCTTGCTGGTGCCACTGGGCAGAGTGAAAGAGAGCCCTGACAATTTTAAAGGACCCATCATGCTGCACCAGGTGATTTGGCCACACACAGAACCTGGATGCCCAACGGAACGAACATTATGTATGTAGATGTGGAAAATGGCCTGTGTGCCGCGGGAACACGTGACTCCTGGTAAGGGAAGGAAACAGGGGTGTGCCTGTTCAGAGTACTGTTTGTACTTCACAGGTCCTCTCCGTAAAAAACAGGTGCTCCTCTTACAGACATGCTCACACTAGCAGAGGATAAGACAGGAAGCTTTAAGGAAAGCAGAAATTGGGAGGGGAGGAGGTGGCTAAGAGGGGTGGGGGGTTATCATTAGGGTAGGGAGAGCCACATGCCAGATCATGTGGTGAAATTGAGTGGTGTTTCCCCAAAATGAGGTACAAAACCAGCACAGAAAACACAAAGAAGATTGAACTGTCTGCTTTACTTGCTTTGTTGAAAATTAGGCCGTTCAAAAGAGTGTTCACCCAGGCCAGTGGCGCCCATCTGTAATCCCAGCCACTAGGGAGGCTGAAGCAGGAGGATTGCAAATTCAAAGCTAGCCTCAGCAATTTAGCAAGGCCCTAACTGACTTAGTGAAACCCTGTCTCAAAATAAAAAAATAAAAAGGGCTGTGGGTGTGGTTCAGTGGTTAAGCACCCCTGGGTTCAGTCCACAGAGCCAAAATAAAACACAAAACAAAAACCCAAGAATGTTAAATGAAAAGGACTGCTATATAAAACAATTCTGATGGTGTGGGAAGGGGACAGTGAAAAATGACTATGTTATCTTAGAGGAAACATGGGGTCCATTCAGATACATCCTCGATCTAAGAATAGTAAAATTTCAGAGGAAAAAAAAAAAGCTAAAACCATGTGGGTAGATAATTTAAAAGAGAATAGGACCAAAGGAAAATAAGTTTCCCAAAACTCCCTCATGTAATGGAACTGTCATCAACATGATATATTTTAATTAGAAACTAAGTATTTAATAGTGTGAATAAAATGGAGAAGTAAGAGCTGGCTGACAAATTCACCACTGTCAAATCTTTATTTCTAGAAGGTTTAAAAGAGTGCAGCTAATATCCTTAGGTCCCTCAATTCCTCTCTAAGAATCTCTCCTTCAGAAGAAATACTAGCACATATAAATAAAGAACTGTGTGCAAGAATATACATTAGCTCTTTGTAATAGGAAAAGTAAAAATAACTGCATATATAAATGTCTATATATAGGTGATTGGTTTCATAAATTATGTGACTTCCTGTAACTAGTATGTGGCACACACAGGGCATGACAGATCTATATGAAGACATGAAAGGTGTAGACTCAATACTGATCGGTACAAAAGCAAGGGGCGGAGCGTGGTGTGCTGGAGGGTGTGAGAGCTGAATTGCAGCTGCTGTGGTCACACCCTGTGTACACGGAGGGTGAAAGGCCTGGCAGCATCCAGGAGCCCAAGGCAGAAGAGAGGGTCCTGGCCACAGCCGCCCATTGCCTAGGATGGACTCACCTGAATCTGAACCTCAGCTCTTGTCTACATTAGCCACGCCAATGTGAGTTTTCTTTGCCTTTACTTGTAAGCCCAAATTAAAAATTTTAAAAGTTTCTTATTTGCTTTATTTTGTTGGTGCTGGGGATCCAACTCAGGATGGTGCACGTACTAGGCCAACTGCTCTACCACTGAGCTCCATCCAGCCCCTAGTTTGGCTTTTAATTGCCACATAATAATTGTACATATTTATGGGATGCAGTGTGATGTTTCAATAAATTTATATAATGTGACAAAAATCTTAGCAGAATGACACACACAAACACATGTATGCATGTTATTGTGCCCTTGTCCCTTCCATTTGGTTTAAATGTCTTAGCATGATCTGGTCTGAAGGTAGAGAAAGGATGCGAATCCTCGGGGCGCTTCAAGCCCCTTGTTTTCATGCCCAGTTCCTTGATGGTAGCCCTGCGCAGCGCGACTTCTCTGGAGCCTATGTATATATTTTGGTTTTTATCTCGGGTTTTGTTAAAGTATTTAGATTTTTGTTCTTGAACCTGAAGCAGCTCCAGAACAACTTTGAGAGATAAGGAAGAAAGCCATCTTTTATGATTTACTAAATATAGCAGGAAGTATACAAAATGAGCCTTGAGCATCTTGTAGTATGGAATGTAATGAAGTGCTAAAAAAACAAAAGTCTCACATTAATGGATGTATGTAGAAGGTGCACAAGAGGCAATTGAAAGAGCTCCCAATGGCCAAAGCTGGAATAATCTAATCAATAACGTAGGTAGCACTGGATTACAACCCAAAGTTCAAAATAAATATCCATGATTTCATAGTGATATAAATAAGCAATTGAATAAATTAATAACTGGAGAAGATGAGACACATTTCTCATGCAGAATACTTTAAAATAATTTATGTAGACAAACTGCTGTCAAGATGGAGCATAACTTCCCACTCACGTGGAGGCACATGGTGACTTCCTTCCAAAGAGTGCGGCATGGAAAGAGAGGAGAGAGAGTGACTTTGTGGACTGGGTGTGGCCCAGTGGTAGAGCACTTGCCTAGCATGTGTAAGTAAGGCTTTGGGTTTGATTCCCCAGCACCCAAAATATCATACATAAATGAAGTAACTTCACAGTGGAGAAACCTGACAAATACCTCCTCAGGTCCAGGGGGTGATGCTGATGACCTTTCCCCATAATGTGACACGATGTGGTAAGTAAGGATGGTCCTTGCCTCTCTGGTCTCCCTCCCCCAAACACACATATGTGGGGGTAGACACATAATCCCATGCTAATCATGAGAAAACACAGCAGACAGATTCCAGTAGAGGGAGACCCTACAAAATACCTAATCACTATGCCTCAAAACTCGAAAGATCAAAACCAAGCAACGTCTGTATAATTCTCACAGCCAAGAGAAGCCTGAGGAGACTGGACAACTAAATGTGACGTGGTTTTTCCTGGGTGGGATCCTGGAACAGAAAAAGGACATCGGGGCGTCAGATGTGGCAGCATACACCTATAATCCCAGCAATTCAGGAAGCTGAGCAGGAGGAGCCCAAGTTTGAGAGCACTCTGGGCAACTTAGTGAGACCCTATCTGAAAATAAAAATGTCTGGGAGTGCAGCTCAGTGGTAAAGAACCACTGGGTTCAATCCTCAGCATCAGCAATTTAAAAAAAGCAAGCCTGTAATCCCAGCAGCTTGGAGCCTTAGGAGGATCACGAGTTCAAAGCCAGTCTCAACAACAGCGAGGCACCAAGCAACTCAGTGAGACCCTGTCTCTAAATAAAATATAAAATAGGGCTCAGGATGTGGCTCTCAGTGGTCACATCTTCTGTAACCAAAAAAAACCACTGGGGGGAAATTGAAGGAAATCAGAATAAAGTATAGACTTAATAATTAACAATGATGTATTAATATTTGTGTTTTAAATGCAATAAATATATCATACCAAGGTAAGATGTTAATAATAAGTGAAACTGGTGCCTGGTATCTGGGAATTCTTTGTACTATCTTCTTGATTTTTCTGTAAGTATAAAATTGTTTTGAAAAATAAAGTCTATTAAAAATGTATGTGTGGGCTGGGGCTGTAGCTCAGTGGTAGAGCCTTTGCCTCACAGAGGTAAGGCACTGGGTTCTATCCTCAGAACCACATAAACAAATAAAAAATAAAGACTTCACTCTCTCCTCCAAAGTACTTCTTAAAAATGGATGTATCTAAAGATAGGAAGTTTAGGGACAAAATGATACTACTTAGAGTTGGAATTAAGTGTATCTTATCACCTTTTGTATTAAAACAGAAGTGAGGGGTAAAGTATGACAATACCACAGTACATTCACCAGTTATGTCAGAAAGTCCCGATGACTCTCATGTAGGAGACTAAAATATTCCACATAAATTATAAATCCCTCATTAATTATACATTTGCATTTAACTACTCGTGGCAAAGGAATATTCTTTACCTTGTTTAGATAATGTATAACTGAATAGGGAAGCTCATTTTCACCCATTTTACTCACTTTAGACTTGAAAGGTTTTATTCCTGCTAGTCTCCTAAGACCTCCTGTCAAGCTGAAATATACAACTTTTTTCATTCTTGATCTTAGCATTTGTAAGGGATAAATAATTGATTAGCATAGGAATTCTGGGAATATATTTAGCTTTTGCTCAGCACTAAACTATTTTTAAATGTCCTTAGGCATCAACCCAGAATGTACATCTGAAGGATGTCAATTGGAAATTGGGAAGTGAAGCGACAGCTTGGATTAGAAGTCTGAAGCGTGAAGTGCAGAGGGAGGAAGAGCAGCTGCCAGTTTCCCTGCCGCTCAACCGCCCGTCCACCTTGCCGCACTCCTCCAGTCTCATACACGTCCCTCTGGTTAACACTGCGCCCTCTTTGAGGGCAGAATCTTTCCTTCTACAGAATGTGGTTGCGAGTTTCTCTTCACCCTTCAAAAATGAGTTGAAGAAAAAGAATAATTAAAAACATTTTTTTTTATTTTATTGTGATGAGATCATTTAACATGAGATCTACCCTCTTCATAAAACTTAAGTGTTGTGTTCAGTATTGTTAACATTGGGACAATGTCGTACAGCAAGTCTCAGCAAGAACTTATTATCTGACATGATTGAGACTCTGTGCCTATAAATTGTCAACTCCCTGTCTCACCCACACCTGAACGACCCATTCCACCCTCTGAATCCTCGGATGTGTCTGTTTTATTTACCTCGTGTGAGTGGAATCATGCAGCACTTGACCTTCTGTGACTGGCTCTTTCACTCACCCTAAGTCTTCCAGTTTCATTCACGTCAAACACGGCAGATTCCTTTCTTCTTTTCTCTTTTTGGTACTGGGGATTGAACCTAGGGTGTTGTGCTTGGCTCTACCACTGAGCTATACTCCCAGCTCATTTAAAAAAAAATTTTTCTTTTGAGACAGGGACTGACCAAGTTTCCGAGACATTCTATCCTCTTGCCTCTGCCTCCCAAATCACTGGGATTACAGGTGTGGGCCGCTTCACCCAGCTAGATCTCCCTCTTTTTAAAGCCTGAATGATATTCATTTTATGAATATATCACACTTTCTTTATCCGTTCATCTACTGATGGATATTTAGGTTGTTTCCACATCTTGGCTGTTGTGAATAATGCTACAATATTCTAATATCTTTTTGAGATCCTGATTTCAGTTTTTGAAGTGGGACGGTTGGATTATTTTGTAAATTTGTTTTTAATTTTTTGAAGAACCTCACACTGTTTTCCATAGCAGCTGTACTATTCCACATTTGCACAAACAGCGTGCAAGACTCTGATTTATCTTCATCCTTGCCAATGCCAGCACTCCCAATTTGGCTTTTCTTAATAGTCACCCTAACAGGTGTGAGGTGACAACTCCTGTGGCTTTGATTTTCACTTCCCTGATGATCAGTGATGCGAGTATCTTTCCATATACTTGTGAGTCATCTATATATCTTCTTTGGAGAAATGTTTATTCAAGTATTTAGCCCATTAAAAAAAAAAGCGTTGGGGCTGGCGATGTGGCTCAAGTGGTAGTGCGCTTGCCTAGCATGCATGAGGCACTGGGTTCGATTCTCAGCACCACATAAAAAAATAAAATAAAGATATTGTGTCCACCTAAAACTAAAAAATAAATATTAAAAAAATGTGAATGTGACGTTGTCCTTGGTAATGGCTTCCTGGATATGACACCAAAAATCACAAACAACAAAAGGTGAAAAGGAGACAAGTGGGGCTACATGAAACTAAAAAGCTTTTGCACAGCCAAAGAAACAACCAACATGTGACAAGGCCACCTACAGAATGGAAAAGATATTTGCAAACCATATAATAAATAAGGGATTCTTTCTAAAACATGAAAGAGCTCCACTAGCTCAATAGCAAAAGACCAAGACCACCAACCATCACCCTCAAATTCAATAACCTGATTTTAAAAAGCATCATTTTTAAAACTTGAAATTGAATATGCAGTCACATACCACGAAACATTTGAGCTGATGATGGACGTATATATGACAGTATACACATATATGCATATGGCATTTCACAGGCAATACCATCTAGGTTTGTGTAAGTACATTCAAAGATATTTGCGCCACAACAAAATCATCCAGCGGCCTTCCTCAGGGCACCACCCCGTTGCTGAGCAAGGCATGACTATGTTTGTGAAAGAGGAAGTCTGGAATTCTTCCTTTCATAGTTATTTTTTATTCAGTTCCACTTGGGGGGTAAATGAAGAAACTCTATGAAGGCCTTAAAAACAGGAGCCTCAGCCCCTGGATGCTCATGAAAGAAGGCAGCCTCTTGTATAACCCTCCTCCACTTCCCAGGCATTTGGAAAATCCATTAGGGTTGTGTCGCACAGGTCCTTCCATGCAGCTCCACTTAAGGTCATTCAAGGTACAGGGGCATCTGAAGAGAACTATAACATTTTTACCATCCTTGAGTATCTTACAGAATGCAGAGGGAAGGGCTGGGGTTGTGGCTCAGTGGTAGAGTGCTCGCCTTGCACATGTGAAACACTGGTTCAGCACCTCATAAAAATAAATAATCAAAATAAATGTATCCGGATGTGTAATTGATGTGATTCTGCAATCTGTATATGGGCTAAAAATGGGAGTTCATAACCCACTTGAAGCAAAGTGTGAAAGATGATATATCAAGAACTATGTAATGTTTTGAACAACCAACAATAAAAAATAAAAAAAATAAATGTATCCATCTACAACTAAAAAAATTTTTAAAAAATGCAGAGAGAGACACGAATATAAAGAATAAGTGTGACATAGACCAAAGGTACAGAATAAAAGACACATAATTATATTTATCTCATACTAGACAAAGCCACCAAAAACATTCACTGGAGAAAAGATAGTCTCTTCAACAAATGGTGCTGGGACAATTGGAAATCCATATGTAACAAAATGAAATTAAACCCCTATCTCTTACCCTGCACAACACTCAAAATGAATCCAAGGCTTAGGCACTGGAACAGAGACCCGCGCCTAATAGAAGAAAAATCAGGTCAAATCTTCACCATGTTGGCTATGGACCTGACTTCCTTAACAAGTCTCCTAAGGCACAAGAAGTAAAAACAAGAATCAGTGAATGGGATGGATTCAAACTAAAAAGCTTCTTCTCAGCAAAGGAAACAATCAATAACGTCAAGAGAGAGCCTACAGACAGGGGGTGGGGGGGCGGGGGGGGGACTTTTACCATTTGCGCATCAGATAGAGAATTAATCTGCAGGATACATAAGGAACTCCAAAAACTTAACACCAAAATAACAAATAACCCAATGAATAAATGGGATAAGGAACTGAACAGATACTTCTCACAAGAAGAAACACAACCAATCAACAAATATATGAAAAAATGATCAATATCTCTAGCAATTAGAGAAATGTATACATTGAAATTCCATTTCACTCCAGTCAGAATGGCAATTATCAAGAATACAGGTGACAGTAAATGTTGGCGAGGACGTGGGGGAAAGGCACACTCATACATAGGCTGGCATTTATTATTTTTTTTTTAAAGAGAGAGAGAGAATTTTTTAAATATTTATTTTTTTAGTTTTCTGCGGACACAACATCTTTGTTTGTATGTGGTGCTGAGGATCGAACCCGGGCCGCACGCATGTCAGGCGAGCGCACTACCGCTTGAGCCACATCCCCAGCCCTGGCATTTATTATTGAGCACTTACTTAATGTGACAGCACTGTGCTGTACATGTCTCCCTTATGTTCACTTACTCTTTGCTGCTGGGACTGCTAATTGGTACATCCAATCTGGAAAGCAGTATGGAGAATCCTTGGAAAACTGGGAATGGAAACACCATTGGACCCAGCTATCCCACTCCTTGGTTTATACCCAAAGGACTTAACATCAGCATACTACAGGGACACAGCCACATCAATGTTTATAGCAGCTCAATTCACAATAGCTAAACTATGGAACCAACCTAGGTGTCCCTCATTAGATGAATGGATAAAGAAAATGTGTTACATATCCACAATAGAATATTACTCAATATTTTTAAAAATACATTTATTTTTTAGTTGTAGTTGGACACAATTCCCTTCTTTATTTTTATGTGATGCCAAGGATTGAACCCAGGGCCTTGCACATGCTAGGTGAGCACTCAACCACAGAACCACAACCCCAGCCCTTACTCAGTCTTAAAGAAGAATGAAATTATGGTATTTGCAGGTAAACGGATGTAGCTGGAGAATATCATGCTAAGTGAAATAAGCAAATCCCCCAAAACTAAAGCCATATATTTTCTCTGATATTCAATGCTAGTTCACAATACAGTGTGTGGGGGTACTAAGGAAGAATAGTTACCTTGGATTAGGCAGAAAGGAGTAAAGGGAGAGTAGGGGATAGGGGGTAGGAAGGCTAGTAGAATGATCAGACATTATTACGCTATGTGCATATGTGATTACACATATATGTGCTTCTACATCATGCACAACCAGAAGAATGAGAAGTTATACTCCATTTATGTATGATGTGTCAAAGTGCCTTCTACTGTCATGTATAACTAAGAACAACAACAAAAAAGAAAGAGTAAGTGTTATGTGCCAGTACACCAGGTGTTGAGCATTGTGGATGCACCCTGCTTTGTGAGGGCTGGAAGGAAGAAGCCGTACTAGGTCCACCCACAACATCCTGGGTACATGTCCACCACAGCACTCATGTGAATGTCCATGTCAGGGCCGTATCTATTTCTTTGAAATTGCTCCCCATAATTCAGAGGGGTGATGTAGCAATCATGCTTTGGCTACTTAATCTCACCACTTGCCCCAAATTAGACTAGAAATGACTAGTTAACTCAAGCAGGAACTTTAGAATTGGCATTGTAAGACTGTCACTCAGTCTTTGTGTACAGCTGGACCATAAACCAAAAATTCAGGGGCTGGGAGACAGGGTACAAACAGCCTTGTGATTGGAAAAGAGAAAACCAGTCTTCAGAAAGGTAGAACAGTGAATTGGGGCTGCAGAGAGAAAGGGGGCAAGACTGCACTTTGTGGAGTCCTAGTAACTGTCTTGATTTTGTTTTTATCCTTTTCTGCAGGTGAGAATGGATGCATTATTGTCCTGGAGTTCCTCGATATATGCCAGTGTCTTACAGAAGTCCCACTTTGTAATATAAAAAGTTGATCTCTGGCACTTGTACTCAAGTAGACTGGCATTTATTATTGAGCAGGTACTTAATATGACAAGCACTGTGCTGTGCTAATGTCTCCCTTGTATTCACTTATCTTTGCTCTGAGGCATAGAGAGATCATACAACCTGATTTTAAAGATCATGTTCTTTACTACTTGGCCTCCCAAAGAATATTAAATAGTAAACACTGCCTTGTGATTCGTGATTGCCCTTGGCTGTCTCTCCCATGGACTGTAAGCATCTGCTATGGTTTGCATATGGCTTGTCCCCTTCAAAGCTCGTGTTGAAAATTGCCACGGTGGCTGGGATGGCACC